TTTATAACATCATTCACGGGCCATGCAATATTATCAACTTAAAAGTTAGCCTGCTATAGTTGGTCAAACATTTAATTAACTCACCCCTAATGCCTTGGCAGGGCCAGACCAAATGAGTTCACGGGCCTCATATGGCCTGGGGGCCGGACATTGCCCACCCCTGCTCTAGAACCTTGGAACCCAGTTAATGAATGAAAAGGGGGAAATCTTTAGCCCCTACAGCATTTATTTCAGGTGGCACAACTGTTTGTACGCAGTAAGTTGAGTGTCCTTGGTGTCAGAACAATCACAGGAAAACCCATCCCTGAGCATGAAAATAGCGTTGCTTCCTGGAATAGGATGGTGAGGAAAGGAATTTCTAGTTCCAGTATAAGCTTAAAATGGCAGGGGAAATTGTGGTTACCCATGTAACAAATCCATACCTTCTTGGACTGAAATGTGGAACTGGAAAATCATTTTCACACCACAGAGGTTTATTTTTGCTATAGGTTAACTCCCCTTTCTATCCTCACAGAGGAAAGGTGGGCACTTCAGAAATTTGCTCAAATGGAGGAGGAACATTTCTCCAATGTCACCCAGGTTTTTCTCCGTTTCTATAAGGTACGGAACTAAATTTCCGTTTCTTATAAAGATAAAGGGATCATCATTGAGGCTGGACAGGGTCAGAAGTTCAACAGTAATGAACTGCAAGAGTGCCATGTACTTCTCATGGTCAAATGAAACCATGACAGTTTGTTCATCAGTTTTTCTCTACAGCATGACTGTATTTAATAGTGAGTATGGCTTTTCACCTCAACTTCATCTTCAGCCTGCATCTATATTCTTTCTTCAATCCTCCTCATTTGTAGCCAAACCTCTTTTATTTTTATTTTGTTTTCACACTCTACTTCATCCATTGGGTAGATGTTTTCCTTTGAAATTTGCTAGTGAGGAGGCTCTGCATTGATGAGATGACCCAAAAAGCTTGTGGATAACAAAACTGAAGACTAAGCATTTAATGAGAGACAATGGATTCATCCCATTTGGTCCTGTGAGAGAGTAAGCAAACCTGCAGGAAATTCAAATCCAGGAAGCAAAAAGCCAGCCATTTTTACAACACTGGCCCTTCCAAAATGTCTGGTTTACTTCACACAAGTTTGTTTTATAAAGAGAACATAGAGACAATTTTTCTTTCTTCTGAACCGAATGAAGGGATTAATTTACATCAATAGAGCCCTCACTCTGCACAATCCTCTTCCGTGTCTTCTTGGGGAGCCCAGAATCACAAAAGGAAGAACCTAGGCTTTCTAGACAGAGATCTGGCAGAGTCTCGAACCTGCCATGTTGGGATAGTTCCTTATTCTTAATAAGCTGCAGTATTGTGGCTATAATGAGAAATGGTGACCTCTAGGACTGCCTTATATTTACACACACACACACACACACACACACACACACACACACCGATCTGAATGCAAGGCACAGTGGTGCTTGGTGCAGACAAAGCACTAAATGAACTGGAATTTGTTCAGTCTGGTTCCTGAATCAAATGACAGTTTGTCCATCAGTCTTTGCCTCGTGTCATGAGCGCTGCTCCTGCCCAGTTCACTTGGCCTCGGGATTGATGCAGGCACTGAATCAGAAGGCACACAATGACCATCTCCTGCACTAACATGCTAGCCCATCACTTGGAACACTTACCCAATGCACACCTGGTTATTTAGTTATGAAGGAAATATAGATACTAAATGTTATCACTGTATATTATTTTAATAGTCACTATAAAAAGCAATTATTATCCATCACTTTGCATCAACTCAAAGAGCAATAGTTTAAAAAAAATGCCTATGTCAAAACAACTACCTTGAACAGAACACCTTTAAAAGACCTTATAGAATTTTCCAAGGCTTCTTTTATTTAAGAAAATAAGCAAGTAAAATAGGAAATCAACAATTAAAGAGCTCATTTTGTTTCACATCAGTAAATGAACTAAATATTTTTAAGTGGTGAAAAGAATCTCTTAAGATAATGTAACTATTGGATGAGATTTTGCTTGTTACTCATTGTCCAGAAACCTAAGTAAAATTTGGGACATATATTTAAAATAATTATGTAGTTCATTCAGTTTTAAATGGAAAGAAAAAGAAATGTCAACTATTTATCTCGTTGCATTTTCATATATCAAAGTCTCCCGGGATGGGATCATGCGTCAGAAGTATGGGTGCTGAGACATTATTGCCACTTAAGAAATATGAAGCATGTTTATAGGTTTTATTCTTCCTATCATTATGTTTGAAAACCTGATTATAATGAAGAGTGCGTCACCCAAACAACAATTTACTTGTTAAATTGAACCAATGAATGTGCTTTAAGTAAATATACTACAGAAAATTAGTTTTTGATTTCTTAAAATGTACATATTATTCATGATAGTTTTGGGGCATTTAAATATTTAAATCTCAAAAATCTAGTCCAATGAATAAAGTACACCATAAATATGAAAATAACTGCATTCATGAACAAATTTATTTCATCACCTATTTTTATATTAATTCTTCATTTAAGTGCCTACTATATAGTTATATGAAGTAATTTAAAATATTTCCTAAGGCATTAATTTCATTTAATTTTGTAACATTTTAGTGACCCTCTAAAGATTCTAAGCAGCTCTGTACACAAATAAAAATCAAGATGCAGTGTGCTGACTTTTTTCATAATTTATTTTGATTTCAGTGGATATAGGGGGTTGACTTAACTACTATCCATCTACTTTCAAACTCTATTGTCAATGTTTACTTCTAATCAAATACAACTAATTGAGCCAGTTGGCTCCAGGCAGGCTCTCCAGCAATGGCAAATTATCATAAGCCAATAGATCTTGATTGCCACCGCCTGTACCTTTATTGTCTGTCCAGATTGTTTTCACGTCAGTTCATAATGAAAAGCCACGTCACACACAGAGGGACAGGAAACGCACCAGGGGGCTCCCCTCTCGGGAACAATCAGATTGTCAATAACCCACAAGGTAACCGGAGGGCTTCCATCCTGTAACCTTCAACAAAGAGATTCTACGGACTGGATTTTCATTAGCGACCCAACCAGTGTCCACCTTCAGGCACACAGCACAGCCTGTAACATAGATGAAAGGTAAACAGGCATGTGCTCGAAGTCCTTGATTCAGGAAGAAAATCACTGAAAACGTTTAAGCAGGAATTACGGTCAAATATTGATACAGTTGGATTTGGCAGCAGAGGTGGGTTCTCGGGAGAGACTCCCGTCGCAAATGGGGAGCCCCACTCTACTGCGAAGCCCGTCCCCCAGCGCCTTTCTGCTGCGCGTGGCTCGGGAACAGGCTGATGTCCGGCGTTCACTCGTCTTCACTCGGAAACAAAATGTAATCACGATGCTCAGGCGCCCGAGTCCAGGGAAGCAAGCCCAGGGGGAGTGACAGCCGAGCGCACAG